TCCATCTATGCCAGCGGTTTAGCTTATCCAATGAAAGATGTGTACGAAAATCCAGGCTTTTCCTGAGCAGCCTTTCAGAACTGTCAATTAGAGGCTAACGGCAAGTTGTAGCTAGTTGTCTGCAAGTTGTCCTTCAAACCATGTCACGATACCCGTTAGATGTTCTTACACATGCCTTCTTAAGCATAGGAATACTTGGTTGATGCTGTGTGGGGACGCCAGCTGATCTAGGCGAAATCTGACACCTTTGTGGGCAAGATCTGATGGTATGCAATGGTTATTAGCGTTTCATCATCCAGCTATGTGTGTACATGTGGCATGCTGCAAGTGCTTGAACACCCGAGGAATTTTAAAGGCACTAACGAGAGCTGAATATGAAAGGAGAATTTACCGGTTGTGCCTGCAACTACAGTGCGTAGTTTGATACTGTCACTATTGACCAGTAAGGACACTAGGGGATAGCACTAAGCGGATATTTGAATGGCCATCCTGTTTTGACGAAAGATCGCTGACGACATTCTACTCAAGGCAAACAGGAGGTCGTTAATTCTCAGCCAAATATCGAGTGCTTGTCGATGTATGTTTGACAACATTGCAGTTTGGAAATTCATCATCGCAGCTAAATGACGGAACTCGAAAAATTTCGGAAGGAAGTAGCAATGCACCAGACGGCGTACCTTTAGAGAATTTCGTTTACTTTATATTTCGTTTGTCTAACGTGGAGGAAACCCACAGATACCATACCCACAATTAGACAAGGATGATCGGCCTGGGATAGTGTACTTGCATCATCAAATCGAGATAAGAAACCATGTTTTAGTTAGCATTGTGGTTTATGACGGACAATATAGGCACATGCTTTAAAAGGCCTGTGCGTTGGTCAAGGAGGGTATTAAAATTTCGAAGACTGCTCATGCGAGCAAGATAAACTGCACATCCGTGAAGCGTTTGGACAACGGCAGATAAATAAGACGGTAGTACTACTTAGGTAGCACCACAAAAAGCGGAATAATAATTTATTTTAACTAATGTTCCTTACAAACTAGGATTTGGTTATCACCGTCTGCACTGACCACTTGCAACTGTGTGTATTCTTATTCCAAGAAAGCTAGTTCCCCGATTAACTTTCAACGGATCCGTTCATTGGAGTACGATGTTCGACGGTTTTTGAAAATTGCTGTAGTCTGGCACAAGAAACTGGGTTTGGTAGTGTATAGCAAGGTTGATAGACCCGGAGGGAAAATTAATTTCTTTGACAATCTAAATGCCTGTATTTTTATTGTTTAGCTAGTACTCTATGGATCGACATGCGGTTAACCGGGCATCTCGGCTGTATACCTAGAAGGCTGCGTTCCGATGAGCCATGTCCTCACTTTGATCTTTTTTCCGAATATCGCCATCTGAAGTGACAAAAACAGGGGAGAAATCTACATTTGCAACAATTCTTGCTAATATCAGCTGGGTTGCATGATGAAGCGTTGGTTTGCTCACCAAGCTAGGCGACTAGATTGCAGGTTTTTCGCCACCAAGCTAGATGACATCTTTAGTGCCCAACAGTATATAACTTAGCACCAGGTGTTAGCTCCAAGTGGATCCGGAGATGGAACTTCTTGAAGCTTGGTACCTGCCAACATACCTTTCTTTAATACGCACCAAAAATGTTACCTAGATAGGAGACCAAACTTCTGCAGCTCAGTCCCTCGACTTGGCGATTAAACCGACAATTCAAATATGACCCATTCTGACTTACAATGTGTAGAACATTCGACAGTTGTGGCTTAGCTGATTACACAGAGGTTTGCACCAGTTGGGATTGCGTGCAGCTTTTGGCACTTCGTATTTTCAGCTGGATGTTACGATTTGTGTTGCTACTGGACAATTGGGTTGATACTAACCTATAATATTAGTGTCTGTATTAATGACTAAGCTCCAGCTCAAATCAAGGAAGTCCGTACAACATCCACTGTAGCTTGCCGAGTGGACTGAGATACACCAGTATGAATAAAACAACACTGGTATTTTGTTAGGCCAAGCTGGAAATGTACCAGCTTAACACTGTAGTAGTTAAAAAATCGGACACTTAAAAATCGGACACACTTGCTGATATGGCTAGGAGCCAACCTCAGTGGCGTTCGTGCTGTGAGTTTCTTTGTCCCACCCCATCCCTCTTAGCCTCCCTCTCCAACCATGATCTCATTATTTAGCTTTATATAATCTTGCATAATATTTTTTTTCTTTTTGGGTGCACAGCAGCCGGCTGGTAGCTTACCGGAACGATGCCCATCCGTTACCGGTAGCTCAGCCAGCTTTCACCAGTTGTTTTTTTCTCCCCTTTTTTCCTCTTTGTATTGCGGCACAGTAGCTGAGGTGTTCCTCACCTCTAGCTAACGTGTATGATGATGATGATGATGAGTTAAAAAATCTTGTCAAGTTTTTCTTGATATTGTTCGGGTTTTAGCATAGCTTGGGGGTCGCTACAACACAGAAAAAACCCTAGCAGATAAAATTGCGACCGCCTAATTGCTGTGGCACTGCGCATCCGATTTCCGTGTGGTAACCAATCAGTTTGATGCTCAGATTTGGGTGCTCCGAATCTCGCACACATTGGGTAACAACCAATTCCATCCGCCAGCAAATGTGGGACTTCAAGTTCTGCCTGGTATGCTCTGAAAGACCAACTTTTGACATTCTTAGTGCACCTTATAAAACAGCCACATCAATGCAGCTAATGATTGGCTGTCCGGCAAGAACAGCAGAATTGACATTCGAATGAGCAACATTTTTACGCAGTCTGATTAAACCGTCTCATTTACCACATCGACGTCAAAGTGTTTATTGTATTTGACCTTTTGGTTTACATCAGGCGAAATCAGTCAATTTATACGGTGGAATTACGGTCTCCATGCAACTAATTTCAGGACATCAGCAGTAGGACGTATCGAACAAGCTTGTTTGCAGTGGGTCATCATCAGGCTACTAAAACCACAACTTTGTAGATCAAAAATAAACACCTGAATTACAGGCGTCAATAAGTCCAATACCTCATCCGTAAGGCTATGTGATTAGCCCGACCTGTGTGTAGTCGGGGGGAATGGTGTGATAGGTCTGCTTACGTGTGTTAGTCTGGAGCCAGGGTAGACAGAGTGTCTGACTAAAATACTTCCGTGCGCACAACTCCGGGTTATGTAGCCGAATTGCTAGCGCCTCTGCTGTCGAGAGCAGACCGCATCTGACAACTCTCGTGTGGCGTTCTTGAACACAGTAGTTCGGTTGCAACGAATCTTTTGTGTTTATTTTTTGCTTGGTATTCAGTAAATGTGACAATACTGCGCTCGTCACCTTCTTCCTCACACCACTGTATAGCCAAGCGGGACAATGCTCTCGAGCTCTTACGGACAGTCGCCTGGTCGATATTCCAATATACCTTGCTCGAAATGAGCATGAGAAATTGTACACGCAGAAGGAAAGTTGCGACCGGGTTGTCCTGCCTTTGAGTTGCTGGCGGACGATTGGTGTCGAGGGGAAGTTTACACTTAAGTCGGCCGCAAAGTAGGTTTTGGCAATGGCTAGGTTGTCTTCGGGTGGTTCGCTGCGCTATCGCGTCAGCCTTAAACGGTAGTGACAGGTAGATCAGGCGCTTGTCTGCGGAAGCAGGTTTCGTCTTCGGTACCTGCGGTTCCATGTGCTTCTGGCTGATTTTTGGGTACGCATTACGTTCGAAGACCTTTCGGATGAAAGTTAGCTCTTCAGAAAGCGTATCTTCTGTGCATATTCGTCTCGTTTTCTCAGTGAGACAATGGACTAGATTGCGTTTCTGACTGATTGGAACGAAACTATGGAAGTGGGTGTATTGCCCATCCCACGTTCCCTTTCTGTTTACACTGCTCCGCATTGTCCCGTCTGCTGCCCTATTAATCTAGACGTCTAGAAAGGCCAAGGATTCATTGCTTTCACATGTTTCGTGACATCTAGTCCCTGAACTTATATAATTAATGCATCGGTTATTGTCGTGGTATGTTGTTCCATCTCTTGTCACGTTAATCCGTATCATTTTGAGGCGACCGACGATCAATTTACATACAGTTGCCTCGCTAACTATGAGATAGTTGGGGAGTAATGGAAGTTTCAGACAATCGCGTTTGCTATATTTTTTGCGAACATCATAAACCAGTCAGACTACCCTACGGAGTAGCTAGAAACCCATGCAGCGTACCAGTAAAGCTCTCAGAACTACACTTCCTGATGAATTCCTGCACTTATCCGCCTTCATACCTCCAGATCCTGTTTGGTTTCCTTCCACACTGATTTACAATGAATAGGAGTTCAACCTGTTTTCCGGTAAGGCGGAAGTAAACAACTGGATGATGATCTAAGGAACTTATAACAAAAGGATACGTCCACAGAAATATACTAGTATTCTGGCAATTTGCTGCATTTGTAATGAAAAATGTAAGCAGAACGGTCTCTTATTCTCTTATTCCAACCCATCTGGTCAAAACGCTGTCAGTATGATTCAGGTCAACCGAAAGTAGAAATATGGAGCTGTACAAGTGTATACTCTTTTTCTAACATCAACTACTCCATGGTCCATAATCCTGCGTTTTAATGCCATATAACTCAGAAGGTTTCTTTAAGTTATGCAGAGAAATCTAAGTATTTCGCCAGTTAACCGGGACACAGTCAAATGTATCCACTTCCATGGCAGTTACTTAAACTTTCGGTTGTCTTTTTATCTTGCTACAGACATGAATCGATGCATGTCCCTTCATCCAAACAAGACGCTGGGCGATCCTAAACTAATTATAACTTTTGACTTCGGTACCCTTGCATAGACCTTTGCGGAAAAGTTAAATTAGGACATCGTTCTGAGCAGCAAGTTATCACAGTAAGTCAATGGGTTGTCTTTTCAAGACAATGAATGACAAACCTGTCATGCGCAACACCGGTTTTCACGCCGTTTCTGTCTCAGCTTATCAGAGGATATCAGCTTCAATCTGACAATGACTGCACAGTCGGCAGATTGTGCTTGCACACCAGTTGCCAATTCCTTCCGAATACAAGCGCAGCATAATGTCACATTTGGTGACAAGGATTTGTTCCGGGGCAGTTTACTTCATATTTACTGGGATGCAGACGTTTGGCAGTGTGGTGCGAAAGTCTGCACTAAACTGGTTTCTCGAGTAAGCCCCCGATTCTATTCACCATAAGAAAAACGGCAGCATATTTTATCCACCATAAGATTTGGTTGTCACAAAATTTGTTTAGGGGTTGATGCAACAGTGCGGAAGTTTAATTATAACGCTTCAACACGGATTCAGGGATTGTGTGCGTTAAAGGCCTAAGATGTCATAAGGGCCAATATATAGTATGAGGCAGGAAAGCCTTTCACGGTTGAGTTGATCGTCACACTGAGAGTGCACTGCGCATTACAGGAAAGCAGCTAGAACCGATCTTAGGTAAAAGCAGCGTTATACAACTATTTACCCCTTTACCTATTGCCCATCGTTTCCCTGGAACTTAGCCCACGCTTCGACGAATAAAGGTTTAAAACAATGAGTCCCCTTTGGTTACGTTAAAGTTCAAGTGAGACTGAAACGATGGGATAATCTAGTGCGTTCTTTCTTCAGGGGGTCCTTGAGGCAGGAGTTGCAATTTTGATAAATCTAAAACAAAAGCCGCACCGCAGCCTGTCCAACCAGACACTGCCCACGTATTCTGAATTAGCATCCCCTGCTGGGCCAGTTAAGTAAATTAAAAAAGGGGAAATGGTAAGTTCAGAGAGTAGGAAAAGGTACACATAAGATTATAATACCAACCTATGGAAAGAATTACAAAAAATGGAAGGATTTTACCATTGAGAAATAGAACAAAGGATGTGCTTGGTTTAACTTCGTTTTTACTTCTCAGTCGCATGTGCAATAAGCCTAATCCATAAATAGAATAACGTATGTGAAACCAACACGTGCGAGCATGATGTTGGTACGTGATCAGGAACAACGCAAGATAATCATCTACCTTAATTTTCTTTTAATCCACGTAGTCATTCCTCATGATTATTAGCGCCTCGTAAACTGCTAACCTTGTTGATCCGTATTGCGCAAGTGCGTTTTCATTGTGTTAGGTCGTCGCAATGGGTTTTGAAACAATAGCGAATTAGCGGCAAGAAAAGCGAAACTTATTAACCTTAGCCGTGGGTTGGAACTCATGGAGAAACTAAAAATCGACCAAAAAATGAAGTGTTTTTGTAGAATCACCGTGGAGGTGTATAAACAAGCCGACATGTTTGCACGATAAAAGTGTACGTTTGTAAACCCACTGGTTGGAATTTTTTGTAAACACCATTTGTCTGCGTTATGTAGCTCCATGGCTAACACAAGTTATAAAACGAATTGTGAATGAGACAATGGCTCGTCAAGTCGTGTTTTAAATATCGTTAGGTTGGGGTCAGAGAAGACACAAGTTGGGAGGGCATTCCACGGCTGACACACTCGGAGGGACAAGAAATTTCTACGGTATTCCATCCAGCTTTACCGTATCGCTAGTTGCAAAGATTGATTTCTTAGGATGGTGTTATAGTTCCTAATCTGGTAAACCATTATGAAGTTCCAGCACAAACGCAGTTATCGACTGCTGTACATTCCTAAGGACTTTAGTCTAAGTTAGTAGGTTAGATAAAGTGGCCACTAACTTTATCCGTTGTCCTTCGTGAAAGAGTTTTAAAAACAACGAGGTCCCATTTCTTCCACGGGTGCCACGCTTTGATGGCATATTCCACATACGGTCGTACACAGACGTTAATCACTTATGGGAAGACTGAGGGTCAAACCGACCGAAGGTTCTGCGAAAAAGGCCCATACATTGATTGCCGGTACTCGACGCCTTCAATACTTGTTTCGGACAGTACAGTTTGTCCATTACTTGAATATCCAGGTCACGCTCCTGAGAGGCTTTCTGTAAGGTGTGGTCTCTAAGATTGTAACCACTCACCAGCTGATTACCCAGGCGAATCACCTTGTACTTGCGTTGAACTGTCATGGTTCCTTGTTGCTCATTCATGTACGCAGTCCAGATCATGCTGGGTAAAATCATGGGCTTGCTTGCTGTTACTCACTTTCCATGTTTTGATACCATCGGCGAAAAGCAGGAAATCGGAGGTTATACTTCTTGCCAGGTCGTTGATTAACACCAGGAATAAGCGCGGTCCCGACACCAAGCCCTGTGGAACACCACATTTCACCTCAGTAGGGTTGGAGTATGATCCTCTGCCGCACAACTTAAGCATTTATTGTGGAAGAAAATTTTTAGTCCAACGAAGATCAGGGTCTCTAATTTCGTAGCTCCATAGCTCGTGAAGCAGGATCGGATTTCAGTCATCCAAGCTATCCACCCAACTTTGTTGCTTCATAATCCTTCATAACCAAGTTGGGAAGTAGTCATTGGCTCTCTGAAGCAGTCGGCAGTCAGTTCTCCTAATACAGACATTACCGCGAAGGCAGACGAACTTGTTGAAAACACCCTAAATCCTATCGCCGGACAAATTGCTGGAACGGGTGCAAAGAAGTAGCCTCGTGTACTGTGAACTAAACACCAATCAGTTGTTGTACAAGTGCGTTTTAGAGTGAACCTGAGTTTGCGTCTAACCTTTGTAAAAAGAGCATATTTTCTTTGCTAAATAAACTAGTAGCTTCAGCTTAGGTAGTCTGCTGTGGGTTTGAACGCATTTCTCGGGATACACATTACAGTTCAATCCAAGAGTTCTTCTTCAGCCTTTAGAGCCGCCAGGTTACGAATACGTCGAACTCTATATAAGAGCTATGAGGATGCACCGTTTTAGGTAACTGATATAAAGATAGAAAAATAGCTATGTTAACTGTCCCAAAGTGGTTGAATTTTGGATAGTACGCTTATTTGTCTTGTGAGAAATGCGTCTAAAGCAGAAAGCTGCCCTGTTGTTCTATTCCGTGGGGTGTAGGGGATTTGAGTACAAAGCATTTACTATGATGTAAAGTGAGTTAAAAAATCCCTTTTGGTAGAGCATTAAATGACATTCGCCTACCGATTGTGCAGCTTTGCTTCGCGAACGCTTGTGGCGAAGTTCCCCTTACAAAGAATCTCAGAAATATAAATGTCAAAACAGACCCCAAAGGGTTTTCCATGTGAGACGTCATTGGTCTGCTCGTGCGTAATTTTTTCAAACTCGAGACGACCATTTTCTGTATACAGCGGAATTAGGTCACTGAGGAACTTCAGAGGAATTTTTACGGACGGCAAAAGACTTAAGAGAAACAGAGAAATCATAAACTATTTCATTCAGAGGTGGTTTGTGCAAAGAAAATAATGTACATGAAGTATATGAGCTTTGTATGTGGTGAAACAAATGAAGGCGGATTACTAGAGATAGTTATTAGAGCACAGTATACATGCTTAACTCCTGTAGATGCGTTTACAGTCTTTTGAAACGAAGTTCCCTGTCTTGTAGTTTACAGACTGTTGTGAAATAAATCAGATTATAGCCATTCAACTAAGTCTTTGCCATCTCTGGCTTTGAACTTACTTCAGTTACGAATTGATTCCGTTTGTTTAGTTTCTCACAGAATTGTCTTGTTACTTTCTATCTTTCGAAATCAGCTTCAAAACAGTTACTTCAGAAGACCACTCGGAAGCACTCATCCAAATCATCTTCCCAGGTTTCGACGACTACTAAGGGAGTGTCAGATGCTTCAGGAAAGGGTTCCAAAGAAGTCAAACCAGATTCGACCGATCAATCTTCCGAGGCTAAGATTCAAAAGTTGGCGGCTGTTAAGTTCGACACCGATGGCTTTTCGGCATGTGGCGATGACACAAGTAGCGATGCTGAAGCAGAAGGGACCAGAGAGTCATCAGGTCCGGGTGACGTCAATACTGAGGAATTCAACTTTCTGAATCAAACAGGTGACTCGAAACGCACCCGTACTGCATACACTCGGCAACAAATTCTCGAATTGGAGAAAGAATTCCACTATAACAAGTATCTCACACGAAAGAGAAGACTTGAAATTGCCCATACGTTGACGCTTTCGGAAAGACAGATAAAGATTTGGTTTCAAAACAGGCGCATGAAGTGGAAGAAGGAACACCATCTACCTGGGATGAAACAACGGCTGACTGAAACCAGATCCCCGGCCACTACAAGAACTCACTTATGTTCCCCGGTGAACCCACTCCTACCTCCTGTTCCAATGCACTCTACACTGATAGCGAACCAGTATCGGGCGACTATGGAACCAAATGCCTGCAGAGTGTCCACAGAATTTCCATTCCCTCCACTTTCCAACCCATCCATCCCTTTGCCCGTGTCAGATCCTTGGACTACCCAATCAAACCATGCTGCGTCTTTCATTTCTCCCTCCATGATATCATCTGCGTCTAGGCACGACCTCTCACCCGGGTTAAACTTACTTTATGGGAGTTCCGCTTATGATGCAAGGTTGGATTCGGGTCACATGATTCCCAGTGCTCGTTCGGCATATCCGCTTTCAAATACGGAGCCTATGAGTTCAACTCAAAACAGCCAGATTGGTCTGTCGATGCAAGGCACGACTCAGCCAACGGAATCGACTCGCTTTTGTGGACAGATGACAACATCGTTGGGATTTACAAGCTCGTTGTGTCCTAACTACGAAAATTCGGCCTTGAACAAACCAGCAAGCAGGTACGCAAACTTAAATAAATCCTTGGAATCGAATTCGCTTAGACTGCAATCCTTTGGTCGGATGAGCACTAGTAATAGCAGTACAAGCAGTGGTCACAGCAGCCACGATGCAATGGACTAGACCTGATGGCAAACGTACCAGTGAGTAGTATTTTCAGACTCCTCAAATGCTGTGTGTGTGTTAAGAGCTGCTTCAAAGGAAATGCATTTAACCATTGTGCCACGTGGAGCAATAATGAAACTCCGAGTACAATCAACTTTTCCTCCTTTTAAATGCTTATACGAGATTCAGATGGGCATGTACATGTTTACTTGCACAACAGCAACGATGAACCTATGTTTACATGCGAGCGCACTCATTCCTTGCTTCCCTGTAAACATGCACAAACATACACATTAATGCACTACGGGCTTCTAACTTTTGGTGCCATCGATCTACCATCTCGTTGGGATGTTGCTACTTAGCGTGCTTGTTCTTTCTGCAGAATCAGGCTTGGACAAATGTGGTTGCTTAAAGCCAGTGACACCTAGCAACATTCGTCAAGTTAAGAATGTGTTTTTTTGCATCCATGATGAGGGAAATTTCAGCTGTAAAATGAAGGGGGTGCATGTAAATCCTGCCCACCGGTAAAATTCATCCTGAGTGAACCCGGTTAGGGCGTGTCGCGGACTCCAACCCAACAAAGTGCAATGGTGAGCATCTCCACAGGATCACAGGGTATTTGAACCCCCTGAACCCCGAGCCAAGTTCTGTTGTGCATATGGCTGTATGCCATCGTGATAAATCACGGTGTTATATGAGTCTTGTGATGTGGTGGAGACTCCACAAGACGTAGACATTTTCAAAGTGGTAATTGGAGTACCCGCTGTGTGGTTATGGGGTGTCATGGTTGGGAGCAGCTACACCGAACCACCTCTAATTTGCATACGGTCCTTGTGGTCGTAATGACCGAGGTCTACTTCCAATTAAACCGGGGTCTGAAAAGCGATTGGGTGTCGCAATCCAGCCATTGCAGGTTGTGTGCGGTGCCTCAGAAAATATTTTCATTGGATCGGCGGAATCAGTAGTCTCAGTGACCTTGGAACGAACCGGCAGGAAATTAGTCAAAAATACGCACAAATGTGATATGCTCATAGCAGATAGTGCATAAAGCGATGTTTCGCGGAAAAGGCAATGGCTCTTTCGAAGGTCGTTTGTTGCATCCCGTTATCAGATCCTGTGGACTTTCGTAATCAAGATGCATTTCAATGATTTTAGTGCCATCTGTAGTGCCTTTGAGAAAGGATGTAGCTTGGTTGCTTGCATTTTGTGGTGCCGTTTTGTTTGTTCTTGTGACAGTACGTCACAAATGCTTCCACGAATTGGGTCACATCTCATTAACAGCGTCTCTCCGTCATTGATTCTCGCGAAACGGAAATAGTATCCATATGTATCCCCGGAGCCAAAGGGTAGAGGTTTCGGATACTATTCCAATTTTCGCGGGATCAGGGCCTGTTGTCTTCATCTGATGAGATGAAATTACATTGAAATGCATCGTGGTTGTGCACTGCTTTTGATTCAACTGTGACAATCTAACTTGGTGATTGCTGTTGCACATACACCTGCTATGATTGGGAGGTGATGGAGCTGACAAAGGTCTTTCCTTCTGCTCTCTACATTCCAATGATCCAATGATCCAATATGGCTAGCTGGGTTATCAGAAGTACGCTGTGGAATACGTTGCGTCTTGATTAGCGTAGGATTCAAAGCAGCATTGGGACAAATGAATTGCAGTACTTTGTTACGGAAAATTAAAATAACAGCACGAAAATAGTGGAAGCTATGGTTTGTCTTTGGCAAAAGTTAATACAAGCCAATTCTTTTAGGGTGAATAAATCGTAAAATACTAGCGAAATGACGCAACCGTTAGCGGACTTTCTAGGAAGTTAAACTGAACACGCGGATCGGTTTTGTTACCTTGGCTCTCATTGAAAACGTCATACTGAGTTAGCTAAATGTATTATTGCATCGTCAAGGCAATTTTTGACTATTGGTATTATAGAGGAAAAATGAGTGTAAGTGGGGTGTTCCATGGTTGGTATACATAGAGAAGGAATCAATTGCGGTGTCTTTTCTATCGGTTCTGCTATGTGCCTATTCTTACCTGATATCTGTGTGTGTATTGTGGATCGATTGCTGGAGTTACCGACAAAAATGTTTGAAACTTCTCAGGAGCAGATAGCGTTGTCTCCGGTACCGACCGCAACAGACTCCCACGCCATTTGGTCTCAGTTGGTAATGGTGATGGAACAATCCCTGAACCTCAGTACCTGTCGGTTAAGGAACCCTGTGTGCTGCGAAATCATGTTTTGCTAGAGCTATTATATGTTGATGTCATATTCTGTAGAGAGCCTAACGTAAGTGTTGGGCACCTGAGGGAAGATGGAAGGATTAAATACCCCGAATCTCACACGCATTAGGCCAACGTTGTAGTTGGAATTACTTGCTATTTTCTCAGCCTGACGTGAACAGCAAAGTTCGTCTTGTCTCACTACTCGTATTCGATAGAAGCGCGCTACAAAACTTGATTCACCTGTTGGCAGTCGCGAGTACTCTTACAGAGGATCCTCAATTGCTTACAATTGGCGTGTTAAAATGAAGTAGGTTCACAGTCATCCACTCACATGCCCTGTCCAGAGCATGGTGAAGTGTAAACAATTGTCTCTAATTGTCTCGGTTGCGATCCACATGTTGCGTTCATCTGTACGGTGCAAGAAATTTGTGGCAGTCACTCTTGTGAGATAGATTATGCAACTGAACTATAGCTGTGGACCCTTTACTGAATTCTGTTGTGCACCGCATCGAAATTCAGCTGGTTCAGATATGGTGAGGCTGATTCTCACATTCAGATGCCGCTGAAGTATAAAGTTACCGGAGCACTTATTTCGAAGCTGTCAGACGAACGAACTCATCAGCCTTATCTAGTTCAATATGAAAAATTCGTGTGGGACGAGAGTTTGGTGTACTAATAAAAATAATGCAAATTTTTTAGCGTTAGCGAGAGATCATGCCCACGAAGAAACGTATTTACCTGTGAAGTATGCATATGCATGCAGGGCTATCAGTGCTTGATAGTTATAGTTGGCGGCATCCGGCTCCGGATTTGCCTGTCACTGCGGCCTCCAGGAAAACAGCCGCAGGACGTATGTGCCTATGGAGGGACCATGGGTGGCTATAGCTGCATCACCCACAGTTTCCCCCACACACTCATATCCAATGTGAACCCCAGCGGATAAGACCGGGAGGCATGCGGGATGGGTAGCCCACATTTCATCAACGGAGCCGTCCCACACTCCTTCACAGGCAAACACAAGCACGACGTACGTGAAAAAGCAAGCGCACACAAGGCGGTAGACAGTAGTCCGTTCCATACACAAAACATATGCATAGAACCATTCTTTGAGCCTATCACGTTCAAGAGGACCGTGCACACGGTCAACTCCAGCAAGAACCAACTTGTCGCCTGGAGCCATTCTAGACGAGATACTAGGTAATAGACAGGTAGATAACTTGTCAACATGCACATCGGAAATGTCATGCAAGGGCAAATCACTTGAAATGGCGATGACTCACAGTCTGTGTGTATCTCTCTCTTTTCACACACAGACTGTGAGTATTCAAGCCTTTCTAGATAGGCTAGTCAATCGCTGAACGGTTGTGCAGGAGACGACCCAAGTGCTTTTGCCAGATACGCACTATGTCTGCAGTCTGTGTGCAGATAGCGCCTGAACTACCATCGATCAGCGTCCTCAGTGGCTCCAACCTCGGTCAATGCACCGCCTTGAAGTAGTCAAGGAATTCCTAGCGTGGACGGCGTTCGGTATGGCATTTCATCTGCTTCGCCTTCGCCGTCCACCATGGATTTTTAATGCGACGGAGCTCTGAACTTAGTCGCCGTCGAACTTGGCGAAACAGGCTCTTCTTCTCTAAATCACTGCGGTTTGCCACATGTGCAGCAAATGCTGTGTTCTTTTCTGACACCAATAAGCCAAGCGTTCTATTGTTGTCATGAAACCAATTGGGCCGCTTAATTTTGCGCGCCGAATAGTCTCCGCGGTAGCAGCAGTCACCTAATCGCGAATGTGGTGCCACAAGTCGCCCACTGCGTCTATGCAGTCTACATCACACAGGTGTGCAGCCACCGCCTTCTCCAGCTCAGTACGTTTCGCCCTAGTACCAAGGGAGATGTTAAATTTACGCCGATTCACGGCGGGAGTGCAATACATCGATTTACGAAAATATATGTACAGTTTGGTCCGCACAAATCTGTGATCGGTGCCTCACTCAGCTCCACGCAGTACACGTGTCATGCGCACCTCACGTATATCACGCCGACGTACGACGACATAGTCGAGCAGGTGAGCGTGACCACTCCGTGGGTGCGTTCAAGTTGCTATCTCACTTGCATTCGGTGCAAACCGAGTGTTCGTGATCGTCAGGAGGGCAGTGGCGCACAGTGAGAGCAGCCTGTAACCATTCGCATTTGCTGAACCAATGTCATGTGGACCGATAACATCTATCCAGACCGATGCATCAAGCCCAACGCGTGCGTTGAAATCACCCAGCAGAAATAGTCGGTCGCTCTTCGGCACAGACCGTATCACGGATGATAGCTGAGTGTAGAATTGATCACGTGTGTTATCAGGATAACACATGGTTGAGCCGTACGTGTTTATAAAATTGGCAAATTTACCTGTTCCGAGTCGTAGGCCAGCAGTTATCAGTCGCGAGTTGGTGCCAGTCGCCCCACTCTCCAACTGGCAATGGAGGCGATCGGATGTTGCAAATCCGACCCTATGTTCACGTGGTGTTGAGATGACGTTTTCCACCAGTAGAACGCATAACCGGCTCAGATGCGGTGGTCTCGTGGAAGTGGAAGGAAAGCGAAAGATAATGAACCAATTGGAACCATTAACCAAAAACGTGCAAACATTCCAAAGTAAAGTGGATTAAATTATCTTCTTAGCGCAGTTTTACTCCTATGTGAAAGAAACTCGAAAACTGAGATTAATAGATCCATGTGACTGCATATGAATCTCCAATGTTTCAACTGTGTTAACAGAGTTACGTAAGGTAATAGG